CTTCCCAAGCGGCGCACTATCCAGCGCGCCACCGGGCCGGCCCTATTGAGGTTCTTTTTTAAAAAATAATTACTTTCTTGTTTTTGGAAAAATTATTCATACGTATAAACATTCAAGTAATAAGAAAGAACAAAAAGAAGATAGCAAAGAAAAATCTCCCAGTTTACACCAGTTAAAAATCAAAATCTTTAATATTAATTATCATATAACCATCTCTTAAGGGTTATATAGAAAGAAGCTTAGATAGATAAATTGTAAATAAATTGTGTGTAAAAAGAGCACCTCAATATATGCTATTTTTAAAAAAGAGATTTACATTTATAATATTTATTTGGAGACAATCAAATAGAAACAGAGGTAAAGCTAAATGATAAATGTTTCAATGCTTCAAGAGATACTAATTTCTAGAAGTTCTAAGATTAAAAAGAAAGGTGACAAAAATATTGAAGATGGAATTACTATTTTTTTTAGTATATATTTCAGTTTTAATGGCCTTAAAAACTAATACCTTGGCTGAGTATAATTTTATTTGGTCGCACTTTTTTTCCTCAGAACTTTCTAGATGTTATTCATTTTTAGAATACAAGGTTGCCGTAGAGATGTGTTATGGAAAGGTGTCTGCTTTCCCATCCCTGTCCTGCATCACTCCCTGCCTTGTTTTTTCTTTTCTTTTCTTTTTTTAACTGTTTTTTTTTTCCATCACTGCCTGCTTTGGATGTGACTTGGTTTTGCTAAGTGAATACCAGAAGATTTACTTTTCTCAACTTGGTATTCTAAAATTTTAACAGAATATATCTTTATATTTGTTCTAAGTTACATTTGAGGCTCTCCTTTTAACCTCCCCCCCTCCCGAACCAGGCTCATGACCATCATCATTAATCCTTTCATTAGGATTAATTCATCACTTCTTCAAGGCACCACCATTAATTCATCACTCATCACTTCTTCAAGGCACCACCTTTCAGTTAACTATAATGGGATTTCTCACCCTCTTAATAGTCATAGTGGGAATCAGTCTTTTAATATATAAAACTTGGGGGACACAGTTCAATCCATATCATAACATATAGTTGGGTATTGTTTTGTAATCCATTCAGCCAGTCTGTATTATGAGTGGAAAATTCAATCCGTTTACATTAAGTGGTGTTATTGAAAAGTATTGTTTTATTCCTGGCATTTTATTGATTTCTGTGTGGTTATTTTAAATATCTTTTGTTCCTTTCTTTCCCTTTTATTTTATTGTTTGTCTTTGGTTTTTGTTGGTTTTTTGAAGTGTAAGATATAGTTTCTTTCTCTTTCCTGATTGCATATCTGCTGCACCCGTGAGTTTTGTTCTATCTCATATATTCATAGTAGTGATGATAATTTTTTGGATTCCAGATGCATGACTCTCTTCAGAATTTCTTGTAGGGCTGGTCATGTGGGGGTGAATTCCCACATTTTTCGTTTGTCTGGGAAATATACTATTTCCCTTTAATTTCTGAAGGATAGCCTTGCTAGGTATAGTATCTTGGCTGGCAGTTTTTTTCTTTCAGTAATTTGAATTTATCATCCCATTCTCTCCTGGTATGTAAGGTTTCTATTGAGAAATCTGCTGTTAGTATGATGGGGGCTACCTTATAGGTGACTTGATGCTTTTCTCTTGCTGTTTTTTGAATTGTCTTTTTATTTTTGACTTTTGAATGTTTGACTATAATGTGTCTCATAGAGGGCCTTTTGGGATTGAATCTGGTGGGGGATCTTTGAGCTTCTTGGATCTGGAAGTTCATATCTCTCGCAATACCTGGGAAGTTTTCCACTATTATTTCATTGCACAGGTTTTTAATGCCTTTTCCTTTCTCCTTCCCTTCTGAAACACCTGTAATTTGGATATTTATGTGCTTGAAGTTGTCTGACAGCTCTTGTAGTTTTCTATTTTTTAATTCTTTTTTTTTTTTTTTTTTGGGTCTCCATGGTTTATTTCAAAAAGCCTGTCTTCAAGGTTGCAAATTCTTTCTTCTGCTTTCTCTAGCCTATTTCTTAAGCTTTCTGTTGTATTTTTTTTATTTCCTTTAATGGCTCCTTCAGTTCCATGAGTTCTACTGTGTTCTTTTTTAAGCTATTTATCTCTTTATAAACTTCCTCCTTCAGATCCTGGATTTGTTTTGTTTTGTTTTTCATTTTGTTGTAACTTCTATCTGAGCTTTCTTGTATCTCATTGAGTTTCCTTAAGATTATTGCTCAGAATTCCTTTTTAGTCATTTCAGAGGTTTCATATTATTTGGAATCTGATACTGGACAATTATTGTATTCCTTTGCGGGTGTCATATTCTCTTGTTTTTTCATTTTTCTAGTATCCATACATTGATATCTGGGTATCTGATGGAGCAGATCCTTCTTCTAATACTCAGGAATGTCTTTTGAGGAGAGAAATTCCCTCCTGTAGATGTGTTTTGTATTGACCATTGGGTAAGGTGTTTTAGTTTTGGTTCTGGATAGATGCAGTAGTGTAAACTCTGTGTGATTACTTCAACTGTATTCTATGTCAGAATTGTCTGTGAGTGTCTCTATGGCCTAGGCTCTTGCCAGTTTGCATCATCAAGGTTGTGGATGAGATCTTGGATTCTTGGGGAGAAGAGCCTAGATGCCCTATTGCTCACTGGCTGAGGTTTTGTGACCCTGGGTGGACTCAGTAGAAGACTGGCTAGTGACCCATGACGTTGATAGGTGCTCTGAAGTGATCTGAAGGTCTTCAGCTTATCTTGATGACTTTGAGAGGGCATCCTGGGGGTCGTGATTAGGACCTTAGGCTTTAACAGGGATAATTGGGTGCTCAGCAGCCCCTCAGATAGAGTGGGTGACTCAATAGTGTCTCTGGGGATCTGTGTAGTGCCCTGTATCCCGAGGGGAGGCCTTGAGGTATTCTGTGGCTTTGCTATTGAAGTGGGTGATACTGAGTGTTGTCACTTGATTTGAATGTGGTGCCCTATATTCTCAGGAGGAAACTGGGATGGTCTGCAGCTCCCCTATTGACATGGAGTACTTGGTGAGGTGTTAGTGAGTGATGCTGGGTCCCTCTATTCCTGCTCAGCTGAAATGACCACAGTGGGTGAGGCTGCTGTTGTTGTGGACAGGCCCCTGTGACCCTAAAAACATTACTGTGACACTCTGGATCTCCTCAGCTGGGGTGGACTGTCCCCCATGGGATCTCTGGGGCTCTGGGTGAGCTGCTGTGCCCCCAAGAGAGATTCTGGATCCTTCTGAAGCCTCTTTGCTGGGGTGGGCTGCTTTGGGTGGGCTCACTGGTTCTGTAGGTGTGTGTCTGTGCCTGAGAGTTGTATGAGTCCTCTACTACCTCTTCATGGTTGCATGAGATGCAAGGGTACCTCACCAGCAATGATGGGGTTGCCAGCAGTAGCTAGATGCCCCAATTAAAGCAGTTTTCTGACTCTGGAAAGTGTGGCACCAATCTCCTCCATCCTGATGGTGGCACTCTCACTGCACTGGGCCTCCCGTTCCCAGGACTCAGGACCTTGCATCTACCTGTTCCTGGGGTGCAGGATGCCACATGGCTGTGGGAATGGGAAACTGGTGCAATGATGTTGTTACAGGGGAGTGAGATCTCTGTGGGGGCCAGAGCGATATGGCCTCAGGTGTTAGGGCTGATATGGCCTCAGGTGTTGGGGCTGATATCAAATCTGGGACGGCTGCAAGAGTCTGTGGCCCAGATGGCAAGGGCAGTTTAGCAAATGACCCTACTTGGGTTAATTCAATCGTGTGTCCCACAAGGAACT